TTGGCAAAAGTACTGTAAATTGAGAAATCGTGTGACTAAACTAAACAAAAAGAAGAAGAAACTGTACCACGAAACAAATATAAATTCTATAAAGGATGATATTAAAAATCTTTGGAGTACCTTAAATGACATTTTGGGCAAAAGGGCGAACTCCACTCCATCCTTCAGTGGATCAGATGGCTCATTCATCACAAAACCCTCTGATATTGCAAACTACTTTAATGACTTTTTCATTGGCAAGAGTAGCAAACTTCGGCATGACATGCCAACAACAAACTATGAACCTTCGTATCCATGCATAACTGACCAAATAATGAAAGTGTTATTATGTAAAGTGAGTGTGGAATAAACTACAAGATGGCGCCGACAGACATGGTCGACTCGTTTCTAGCTCCTAGGCTACTTTGCAGTATTTTGTTATTTCTTACATTATTTGCTAAGAACGTTTCTTCCATTATTACCTACAGTCGAAAATAACTTTTGGATACTAAATCGGTGGTCACTTACCAGAATTCGATCAGAAATTCAACTTCCCTGGATCCTTTGTTTGAACTCCCCGAGGCAGTTCCATTATTTCCAGGGGCTGCTACAAGAAGAGGAAGAAGGACTCAAGAGGCATACCATCCACCAATTCCGAGTATATTACTTGCTTATGTTCAGTCCCTGGACAATAAAGTAGACGAGCGTAGGGCGAGGATCTCCTTCTAGAGAGACATGAGGGACAATAACATACTCTGTTTTATGGAATCATGGCTCTCTCCGGATAAACTGTCCCCGTCCATCACACGGACAGGAAGAAAGAACTCTCCGGGAAAAAGAAAGGTGGAGGTGTATGTTTCATGATTAACTTACAGGAACTCAAATCCTTTTGTTCTCCCGATCTGGAATACCTAACCATCAAATGACAACCGCATTACCTCCCAAGATAATTTTCTTCGGTCAACGTCACGGCCGTGTATAGTCCCCCCACAAGCCAACACCGCGACGGCTCTCAAATAACTACTCTGGACTTTGTGCAAACTGGAAACCGCATATCCTGAGGCCGCATTTATTGTAGTTCGGGACTTTAATAAAGGAAATCTCAGCAAAACGCTATCAAAGTTCTATCAACACATCTCCTGTGCTACTCGTGCATCGAGCACTATTTTCCATTGCTACTCCCCCTTCCGGGACGGCTACAAGGCCCTTCCCCACCCACCTTTCAGCAAATCAGATCATGCCTCCATTTTGCTCCTCCACTCCTATTTAAATTTAAACAGGAAGTACCCGTGGTAAGGACTGTTGAACTTTGGTCTGACCAATCGGAATCTATGCTTCAAGATTGTTTTGATCATGTGGACTGGGAAATGTTCTGGGTTGCCTCTCAAAATAGTATTGACATACACACTGACTCGGTGACTGAGTTCATCAGGAAGTAAATAGATTGTGTTGTTCCTACTGTGACGATTAGAACTTATCCAAAACAAAAACCGTGGATAGATGGCAGCATTGGTGCAAAACTGAAAGCGCAAACCACCACATTTAACCACGGCAAGGTGATTGGGAACATGGATGTGTACAAACAGACCAGCTATGCCCTGTGCAAGGCAATCAAAGATGCAAAACGACAGTACAGGGACAAAGTGGAGTCACAATTCAATGGTTCAGACACGAGACGTATGTGGCAGGGACTTCAGACGATCACAGATTATAAAGGGAAAGCCAGCCAAGTCGCAGACACCTAAGACTCGCTCCCGGACAAGCTAAACACCTTCTTCGCCCACTTTGAGGAAAACACAGGACTGTGAGCAATCATTCTCTGTAGCCAACGTGACATTTAAGCATGTTAACCCTCGCAAGGCTGCTGGCCCAGACGGAGGCTGCCCAGCATCCCAAGCTATGTCCTCAGAGCATGTGCAGAACAGCTGGCTGGAGTGTTTACGGACATTTAATCTCTCGCTATCCCAGTCTGTTGGCCCCACTTGCTTCAAGATCAAATCAAATCAAATGTTATTTGTCACATGCTCCGAATACAACAGGTGTAGACCTTACTGTGAAATGCTTACTTACAAGCCCTTAACCAACAATGCAGTTTTAAGAAAATATAGTTAAGAAAATATTTACTAAATGAACTAAAGTAAAAAAAAAAAAAAAACACAATCAGATAACAATAATGAGGCTATAAACAGGGGTACTGGTACCGAGTCAATGTGCGGGGGTACAGGTTAGTCGAGGGTTTTGGGGTAATTTGTACATGTAGGTAGGGGTAAAGTGACTATGCAGAGATAATAAACAGCGAGTAGCAGCAGTGGGGGTTGAAGCTGTTAAGGAGCCTTTTGGACCTAGTCTTGGCGCTCTGGTACCGCTTGCCGTGCAGTAGCAGAGAGAACAATCTATGACTTGGGTGACTGGAGTCTTTGACAATTCCATAATTGTTCCTGTACCCAAGAAAGTAAAGGTAACTGAAATAAATTACTATCACCCCGTAGCACTCATTTCTGTCATCATTAAGTGCTTTGAAAGGCTAGTTAAGGATCATATCACCTCCACCTCCACCTTACCCGACACCCTAGACCCACTACAATTTGCTTACCGCCCCAAAAGATCCACGGATGACGCAATCGTCATTCTCACTGCACACTGCTCTATCCCATCTGGACAAGAGGAATACCTATGTAAGAATGCTGTTCATCGACCACAGCTCAGCCTTCAATACCATAGTGCCCTCCAAGCTCATCACTAAGCTCGGGGCCCTGGGTCTGAACCTCGCTATCTGCAACTGGTTCCTGGACTTCCTGATGGGCTGACCCCAGGTGGTGAAGGTAGGCACCAACACTTCCGCCACGCTGATCCTCAACACGGAGGTTCCACAAGGGTGCGTGCTCAGCCCCCTCCTGCACTCAACCATTATTGCGTGGCCACGCATGTCTCCAACTCAGTTATCAAGTTTGCGAGACAACCTACAGGAAGGAGGGGAGGGCCCTGGTGGAGTGGTGCCAGGAAAATAAGCTCTCCCTCAACATCAACAAAACAAAAGAGCTGATTGGGGACTTCAGGAGCCAGCAGAGACAGCACACCCCCATCCACATCGAAGAGGCCTTAGAGGGTAAAAAGCTTCAAGTTCTTTGGCATGCACATCACTGACAACCTGAAATGGTCCATTCACACAGACAGTGTGGTGAAGAAGGCACAACAGCGCCTCTTCAACCTCAGGAGGCTGAAGAAATTTGGCTTGGCCCCTAAAACCCTCACAAACTTCTACAGATGCACCATTGAAAGGATTCTGTCGGGCTGTATCACCGCCTGGTACGGGGATTGCACCGTCCGGCGCCGGCGGCATGATGGTGTTTTCCTCAAAGCGGGCGAAGAAGGTGTTTAGCTCGTCCGGGAGCGAGGCGTCGGTGTCCGCGACGTGACTGGCTTTCCCTTTATAATCTGTGATTGTGTGGAGTCCCTGCCACATACGTCTCGTGTCTGAGCCATTGAATTGTGACTCCACTTTGTCCCTGTACTGTCATTTTGCCTCTTTGATTGCCTTACGGAGGTCATAGCTGGTCTGTTTTACACGTCCATGTTCTCAGTCACCTTGCCATGGTTAAATGCGGTGGTTCACACTTTCAATTTTGCGTGAATGCTGCCATCTATCCACGGCTTTTGGTTTGGATAAGTTATAATCGTCACAGTGGAGAGAAACCTGCTGGCTGAATGGACTGGGACAATATATCTTGAGAGAGCCATGATTCTGTTAAACAGAGTATTTTATCATCCCTGATGTCTCTCTGGAAGGAGATCCTCGCCCTGAGCTCATCTACTTTATTGTCCAGGGACTGAACTTTAGTGAGTAATATACTTGGAAGTAATATACTCTGTAATTCAAATAATCAAAGCTTGATGATGAGTTGGTTATTTTAATCAGCTATATAGTGTTAGAGCATAAACCAAAACGTGTACCCAGGGGGGCCCCAGGACCGAGTTTGGGAAACCTGCTCTAACACACTCACACCCACACATTGTGATATTGTATTGTAATATTGTGCATTTTATATTTGTAATGGTGCAGTGTAAAATTGTATAGTGCACAATGTCTTGTGTTATGTATTGTTTTATTTATGATGTAGACTATTGTTTTGTTGTGATGTGTTGTTTTGTTCATATTTGGACCCCAGGAAGAGTAGCGGCTGCCTTGGCAGCAGCTAATGGCGATCCTAATAAAATACTAAATACAGGCCCAAAATAAGGACACCAATGTCCCAGACCTGCTGTTTTCAACTCTCTCTCTCTACCGCACCTGCTATTTCAACCTCTAAATGCCCGGCTATGAAAAGCCAAGTGACGTTTACTCCTGATGTACTGACCTGTTGCAACCTCTTCAACCACTGTGATTATTATTTGACCCTGCTGGTCATCTATGAACGTTTGAACATCTTGGAGAAAATTCTGGCCTCAATGGCCATGTACTGTTATAATCTCCACCCGGCACAGCCAGAAGGGGACTGGCCACCCCTCAGAGCCTGGTTCCTCTCTAGGTTTCTTCCTAGGTTTCTGCCTTTCTAGGGAGTTTTTCCTAGCCATCGTGCTTCTACATTTGCATTGCTTGCTGTTTGGGATTTTAGGCTGGGTTTCTGTATAGCACTTTTTGACATCTGCTGATGTAAAAAGGGCTTTATAAATACAATTTGATTGATTGACCAATGACGTTTTGAGAACATAAAATTGGTGTAGAAATATCAGAGTTTCTGAGAAAAATGCCAACAACTAACACATTTTTTGCAGTAAAATGCATGAAATACATGTTGTGAAGCTTGGATCTCATTGGATGCTCTGTACATAGAAATACAGTTTTTATTGTGGCTTAAACGAAAAAGAAATCAAGTCTAGTTAAAAAGTTAGGAATAACAGTAATGCATAATTTGTGAAAGGTACTTGCTTTAAAGCCTATGGTGTTCCATCTTCGAAGACGTTGACATTGACCTGAAGGTTGAGGTGGAGCACAAAAAACAACATATCCCAGTAGGCATTTCTACACCTGCGCATGAATGAAGGAACTTCTGCGCTTGCGCATCTTCTACTGCCCGGTAGCTGATGCAAGAAATCCGAAACTGACTGGTTTGGTTGGTTAAAACACATACTGCACGGGATTTTCTGCATTATCTGTCATAACATAGTCTGGAAACATGTCGGGAGACGACGAGGTAACTAATCCCATTTTATATAGTGATTTACCATTGTAATTCGTCTTCATGAGAAACGTCATTATGGCCTACACATGTGTGAGCATGACATGAGGGCGGCAGCAAGCTAGCTAGCTAACTACTGGCTAACGTTAGCCACCCCATATGTTATTGCTGGTTAGCTGCTTCGTCTCAATAAAATGGTCAGTAAAACCCTAGCTATGTAGCTGGCCAACTATTTGTTATTGTGTGAACGTGTGATTCAATTTATTTGGCTGACATTGACAAGCAGTTGTCAGCCGTTAGTGGTTGTTTCGTGGTTGACAATGCAATAGCTAGCTAGCTACTATAGTTAGCTAACAGACAGTTCTTCATTGTGTGCTTTAATGGAAGTGATTCGTCGCTGCTAGCTACCCATCCATCCATATGGCCAACAGTCTAATTGTTGTTGCCATCTGAAATATGAGCATATACGGATCCACTTCGGAATTTGATTAATTGTTTAGCTAGCTAGTTAAATACTAGTCTGATTAATCGGGCTGTAATACACAATTTATAGTAGTTAACATTACAGCCTGACAGTAATGCCTGCAAAATCATCTAAATGTTCCTTACAAGTCAGAATGTTGAATAAAATTACAGTTAAACTACCGGTTGTCTGTGCTGTTTGTCCTTCAGCTGCTCGAAATTTGAGACAAAATATCCACAGAAAAGTATTGTTTACCTAGAGAGCGCGGAGGTAAACTTAGTTTTATATTGGATATTCGATGTCTCTCGTCAATAGCTATTGAACAAAGCATGTTATGACAATAAAAATAGTATATTCTGAATCAGGAGGATAAAGAACACATTTTTATTGTGTGAATGTATTTATTTCTTTGATGTTTAAAATGCGGAATAATAAAAATGAAAGATAAACACACATTGTTGATTGTTCTCCATCCTCCCCTGATTCAATATACAATGTTTGTCATGACATGCTTGGTTCAATAGTGATTGACGAGAGAAACAAACCTACCAGCACTGTATAAAGTAGGGTAAACAATACTTTCCTGTGGATATTTTGTGTCAAATTTCGAGCAGCAGATGGAAAACCGCACAGACAACCAGTAGAGTAAGTTTAAATGGAATTGTATTCAACATTCTGGCTTGTAAGGAGCATTTACAAGCTTTTGCAGGCATAAGTGTCAGGCTGTATATACCAATTAATTGTGTATTCCAGCCTGATTAATCAGGATAGCGAAATACTAACTAGTTACTGACAGCCAGTTCTTTATCATATTGACAGTAAACTAGCTAACATTACCCATGAATTCCTTATCATGATGCGACTCTGACTATTAACACGTAGTCTGCCAATATTTGTCATCCCCAACCGGCTTTAAGCTAGCTAGCTATATTTGCAAGATGTAATACTGACATTGTCATAGGGGTCAGCCATTCGTAACACATTCCTTTTGGCATTGTGCTTTGCAGATGATATTTGACCCCAACATGTCCAAGAAGAAGAAAAAGAAGAAGAAGCCTTTCATGCTGGATGAAGAAGGAGGGGACGGTGCCAGTGACGATGCTCCACAGCCAGAAACGAAAGAGGTGGAGGTGGATGGAGGAGAGGACAGAGAGGTGGACTTTGACGAGGATGAGGGAAGGAGGAAAGGTGAGGAAGGCGAGACCTTAACATAATATCAACCTAAAGGGTGAATTTGCATGTAGTCAATGCTTTTGTAAGACCTTTGTAAGCAAAACGTTTTGATCTTGGTTTGTTTGCCAGAAATCTCAGATGACCTGGATGACTTAAATTTCTTCAACCAGAAGAAGAAGAAAAAGAAGAAAGCAAAGACATTTGACAATGACGTAGAGGAGGGAATGAAGGTATGTTTTGGGTCAAGTGCCCAGAGAGCTAGCCAGTGGGCTTTGGGTGTAGGATGTTGCCTTTTTTTAACACGTTTTCACAAGAGCGTCTGTCAAATGAGGGAAATGTTAATGTTTGTTGACTTAACTGCAAAATGGATTCCTGTCAATCTTGTTGTTGGTGCACATCATGTCTTATATTTAGATATATATCCTTGCATATGTGGAAAGTTAAAATGTTATGTTTCTTTCAATTATACAGTGTATGACTATCTGTTTTGGCATGACATTGTAGTATGTATTACATTGACTGTATTGCAAAACTGTCCATGCACAGGAGCTGAAAATTGAGGCAGAGCCCTCCGAAACCAATGAAGAGGACGACTTGATGTTAGAACTGGGAAAAAAGAAAAGGAAGTCAAAGGCTGTGAATTTCGACATGGATGACGACATGGAAATCAAAGATGACGGTGAGTGTACCAAATTTACAGGCTGGATAAAAGCTATAATGTGTTTAATGCAACCAGCATGCAAACTGACCTTTGGCCTTTGTCATACCTTGTGGTCTACAGCCCAGGAAGATGAAGATGGAAAGAACATTGACGACATCACATTCAGCAGCACACAGTCGGGCCCTGCGTGGGCTGGCTCAGAGAGAGACTACACATATGACGAGGTACAATCTGAGTCTGTGGATCAAGATAGACTTACTTTAAGATTTTAGAGAAATATTACTCCGAAGTTATTACCAACTGAACAGAATAAAATAGACTAGACATTTTCATAAGAGACCTAAGATGTACGACATGACGTCTGGTAATCATGACCTTAAAGAAAGGAATGTTTAGTCACATCTTCATTTAGAAAATGAATTGGTCACATCTTGTTGACTTGAATGTCTTTTTAGTGGTGTTTCCTAAGTATTTCTTCGTAAAATCCAGGCTGACTCATCTCCCTCCCTTGTAGCTGCTGAACCGCGTCTTCAACATCATGCGAGAGAAGAACCCTGACATGGTGGCTGGGGAGAAGAGGAAGTTTGTCATGAAGCCTCCCCAGGTGGTCCGAGTGGGCACCAAGAAGTCCTCCTTCGTTAATTTCACAGACATCTGCAAACTGTGAGAATGATATGCCACTAGGCTTGGGCGACATACCGGGGTATTTCGAAATACTGACAGTATTATTTTCAATACTGTAAAATTAATCATTATTTTGGGGTTGGGTGCATGCTACGCCACTGCTTATAACTATATGTTATAACTATAAGAAATCTAAGATGTGTCAAATAAATTATATCCAGCTCAGAGCTCCAGCTATGGATTTGGTTTTCTAACTTGCTAGTAGCTAAGTGGCTAGATGTAAAGATCACATATCTTGGTTACAGTGGAGACATTCAATCCCCACCTGGATCAGGATCCCTGTTGCCTAAATATTTTTGTGCGTTCCAATTTATTTTAAACATCATTTTTTTTGGTAGTTCCCGTTGTGTGCATTTCCGATAATACCGTATACCCCAGTATGGTACAGAAACGGTATGACTGTATGAAAATCTGGACACCGCCCAACCCTATATGCCACTACCCTGGGATCCCTTGATGCCATTTTTAGAGATGTTGAGGTTTTATGATTTTCACTCTCACTTGTTGAATCTCATTATTTTGCATCATTAGTCCCCTTACCCTCATTTGCTCATTTCTTGACAGGTTGCATCGCCAGCCGAAACATCTCCTGGCCTTCTTGTTGGCTGAGCTTGGAACAAGGTAAGGTTTGGGTCGGCAAGTGAAGAAAGACAGTTATCATGCTTAAAAAATAATTGTTAAATTAATGAGTGTATGAAGGCTATGGATTCATGGATAAAACTATTGTTTTTATTGCAACAGTGGTTCGATAGACGGAACTAATCAGCTCATCATCAAAGGAAGATTCCAGCAGAAACAGATAGAGAATGTCTTACGAAGATATATTAGTAAGTGTTTTTGTTGACAATGTTCCTACCTTTGTACACATCTCTATTTCATTGATATCATATAATTGCATGATGATATAATTGCAGGATGATGATTATCTACTGTACTTACAAAAATGTGTTTAATATGATAGGGATGCGACATCATTCGCAAGCCATGTTCATGACAAGACCTGCTAGTTATGAGATGTTTCTCCAGAGATAACGTTATGTCAACGCGTAGCGTAGGCTCTTTTATTGCATATTGAATAACTTATTGTTAAGATGAATTAGATAAAGTAGGTCCACTTCCCAGTCTCACCCCAGTGTTTCTTTCCCTCTCTTCACAGAGGAGTATGTGACGTGCCATACGTGCCGCTCCCCCGACACCATCCTCCAGAAGGACACACGACTCTACTTCCTGCAGTGCGAGACATGCCACTCCCGCTGCTCCGTCGCCAGCATCAAGGCCGGTTTCCAGGCCGTCACGGGCAAGAGGGCACAGCTCCGCGCCAAAGCCAATTAGGATGGGGCAGGCTAGAAGCTTTTATGGACTGTCTGTGGATTTGTTACCGCTGCCTATTGTAAAGAAATTAATAAATCGCATACCATCTGTGTGATCAGACGCAGTCTATATTTCCCAATTTAATCATCCATCACTATTGAGGGCCAAGGTGATGAACTTAATGTGTTGTCTACTCTACTATTTTGAAATCAATTATTTTGTCCAGACTATCCTTGTGTGTGCACCAGGCTTTCAAAAGAAAGCTCAGTGTTATGAATGGCGAAATTGAAGGGCCGATATTAGGGTGCATTCAAACCAGACAAACGGATGCGTATTATTTTTTATTCATTAACAGATTCACTACATGGAACAACAGTTTGTTCTGAAGTGTCTGTCCTATGTCTGAGGGATATAAGAAAGGTCAGGAACCATATTTTTTGTGGGGGACAAGTATTGAACCCCTTGTTTTTTGGCACTAAACTGTCTCCATATATACTTCCATGAGTTTTTAAAAATTGGTACCGGGGGACCTTCAGATGAGTCTTGTGAAGCCTGTGGGCGTCCTAGAACAAAACAACCGACGTGTTCGTGAGAGTCTCACCTTGCATATTAGTGTGTAGCCCAAACTGTTTGGACACTACAGACAGAAGTTGAGAAAAGGTTACTTGTCTTCCTGCTGAAGATAAGATGGTAGAGAAGATCTGAAGGTAATAGGCCATCTACCAAACCTGACCCCTGCATGGTTTTCTCAGCCAGATACATTTGTTTGAATATGACCACTATTAAGCATGTTTCTCTCCTTTTGACTTGAGGGTATAACAGTTGGAAAAGCAAGTATGAGAGATGGTGTACAGTGCATTCGGAAAGTATTTAGACCCCTTGACTTTTTCCACATTGTTACGTTACAGCCTTATTTTAAAATGGATGAAATAGTTCATTTTCCTCAATCTACACACAATACCCCATAATGACAAGCAAAAACTGGTGTTTAGAAATGTTTGCAAATTTACTATGAATATAAAACTTCAGTATCACATTTACAAATGTATTCAGACCCTTTACTCAGTACTTTGTTAAAGCACCTTTGGCAGCGATTACAGCCTGGAGTCTTCTAGGGTATGACACTACAAGCTTGGCACCTGTATTTGGGGAGTTTCTCCCATTCTACTCTGCAGATCTTCTCAAGCTCTGTTAGGTGGGATGGGGAGCGTTGCTGCATAGCTATTTTCAGGTCTCTCCAGAGATGTTCAATCGGGTTCATGTCCAGGCTCTGGCTGGGCCACTCAAGGACATTCAGAGACTCCTGCGTTGTCTTGGCTGTGTGCTTAGGGTCGTTTTCCTGTTGGAAGGTGAACCTTCACCCCAGTCTGAGGTCCTGAGCGCTCTGGATCAGGTTTTCATCAAGGATCTCTCTGTACTTTGCTCTGTTCATCTTTCCCTCGATCCTGACTAGTCTCCCAGTCCCTGCTGCTGAAAAACAACCCCACAGCATGATGCTGCTACCACCATGCTTCACCTTAGGGATGCTGCCAGGTTTCCTCCAGATGTGACGCTTGGCATTTTTGGCCAAAGAGTTCAATCTTGGTTTCATCAGACCAGAGAATCTTGTTTGGCAAACTCCAAGCGGGCTGTTGTGCTTTTTACTGAGGAGTGGCTTCGGTCTTGCTACTCTACCATAAAGGCCTGATTGGTGGAGTGCTGCAGAGATGGTTGTCCTTCTGGAAGGTTCTCCCATCTCCACAGAGGAACTCTGGAGCTCTGTCAAGAGTGAACATCGGGTTCTTGGTCACCTCCCTGACCAAGAACTTTCTCCCCCGATTGCTCAGTTTGGACGGGCGGCCAGTTCTAGGAAGAGTCTTGGTTGTTCCAAACCTCTTCCATTTAAGAATGATGGAGGCCACTGTGTTCTTGGGGACCTTCAATGCTGCAAAACTGTTTTGGTACACTTCCCCAGATCTGTGTCTCGACACAATCCTGTCTCGGAGCTCAACAGACAATTCCTTCGACCTCATGGCTTGGTTTTTGCTCTGACATGCACTGTCAACTGTGGGACCTTATATAGACAGGTGTGTGCCTTTCCAAATCATGTCCAATCAATTGAATTTACCACAGGTGGACTCCAATATAGATGTAGCAACATCTCAAGGATGATCAATGGAAACAGGATGCACCTGAGCTCAATTTCGAGTCTCATAGCAAAGGGTCTCAATACTTATGTAAATAACGTATTTAAATTTTTTATTTTTAATAAATGTGCAAAAATGTCTTAACCTGTTTTCGCTTCGTCATTATGGGGTATTGTGTGTAGATTGATGAGAAATAAAAAATAATGTAATCAATTTCAGAATAAGGCTGTAACGTAGCAAAATGTGGAAAAGTAAAGGAGTCTGAATACTTTCCGAAGTCACTGTATGTTGTACTCTCCAGTAAGTCGTAAGCACTTCCGTCAGTCTGATATATTTTTGTCACGTGGGGTGACAGTCGGTTTCCAGTTAAATATGTACGTTTTTTTCAGATGTCTTTAATGCATCAATATAGCGTCATTCTGAAGATTAAAAAAAAAAAACACTTCAATCCAAATCTGACTTCTAAAAGATGTCATTAACATTCACAAATTTGAATACAAAATGGTAGTAACATGCTCTTTATTAAAAGAGCTAATTTTATATGGAGGCAAGGAACTGCTGACAAGGCCAACTATCATTTTACTCCCTCTAATCGACTCCATCTCACACTAAAAGGGGGTGTGTTCACTGGCAGCTGTTGTGACACGATTCATGAACAGCTCTGCTTTTTCTCCTAGTTAAAATGGTTTCATGTGACTCAGGATGTGCTTAATCTAATGATTAAAGGCCCAGTGCTGCTCTCACACAGCCTCCGCAGCAGCATGTGCTCCAATGTGGCCGCTCCTGGTTAACATCACCGTACACTCTGAGAGGAGGTGAGGCATGCATGAATAATGTGCGTGTTTTCTAGCCTGACCTTACTGAGACTTAGCAGAAGGCTCCACATATTTCCACATAGTCAAGGGATGGAATGTCTTGAGAATCTGAAAATCTGAAAATACTTTAATACATTGGAGATTCAAAGGTTCGCTCATCCAAGTCATATGTACCTTGAAAGAACATGAAGGATGACTACAAATCAATTATGATATAAATTATGTAGCTAGTTGCACAAGCTGTAGTTTGTCTCCGCCAAACATTTTGGAAACCCTTGACTTACCTCAGATTGATGTATCCCCAATTAAAGTGTATCTTGCTAGTGTCACAAGCCTTGGCGAGAAGTAATGGAGCTACAGGTAGTTACCGATAATTGAGTGACTTGCACAAGTTCTGAGATAGCCCCAGAGCACCGCAGTGTGCTGTGGTCATGATGTGATGGATTACTCTGAGCAAGAGTTCATTCCAGGGGGCCTTTCCACATGCATTCCTAGATCTGCTCAACTGGAGAGATTGAAATACAGTCAGGCATGATTGTGTAGCCAGCATGAACTTGCATAAATATCCTGGGCTGACTAATTGTGATAAGCCTATGGGTAATTGGGCTCCAATGAAAAATGTATGTTTAATGCATAATGTCAGAGAAATTCCTCAGCTATTAATCAAGAATAAAGTATGCCATTACTCAATAGGGCTATACTTCTAACAACAGTTGGAAGGAGACTTCTTTGCCCAGGAGTTAGTTAGAGGTAATTGGTTGAGCAGTATGGTGAGTCTGGACAGTTCACACATTTTCAGTTGTAGCCAATAACAGCTATTTTCAAAGGTAGCACCACATAATCAGGGTAATGGTTGTGTAGGAAATCACACTTAATGGCTATGGTTTACTTTAAAGACATGCTCCGGTACTTTGGCGACTAAGAAAGTATTTTTTAAACCTCCCACTTTGGGCTGGATGTGTCTGTGTAGACACAATTAGCCACGAAAACCCTAGTTTGAAAGCGACTGTTTTCTTGAAGCTGAGCCAAGCCATTTACCCTCAATTTCCCCCCACATGGGCTGCCCACTAGTAATTCCAGTTCTCGCCAATGAGCTTCAGCCCTTCGCACTTGAGTGACAGCTAGTAAGAGGCCTGCCCAGCGTTTTCCAATGAGGTTGCACAGGGAGGGAGGGAGAGAGAGAGAAATTACCTGACGCACATACAGTATATTCAGAAAGGATTCAGACCCCTTCCCCTTTTCCACATTGTGTTACATTACAGCCTTATTCTAAAATGGATTTTATTTATTTATTTCCTCATCAATCTCCACACAATACATTTTTGCAAATGTATTACAAATAAAAAACAGAAATACCTGATTTACATAAGTATACAGACCCTTGCTATGAGACTCAGGTGCATCCTGTTTCCATTGATCATCCTTGAGATGTTTCTACAACTTGATTAGAGTCCAACTGTGGTAAATTCCATTGATTGGACCTCATTTGGAAAGGAACACACCTGTCTATATAAGATCCCACAGTTGACAGTGCATGTCAGAGCAAAAACCAAGCCATGAGGTCGAAGGAATTGTTCGTAGAGTTTTGAGACAGTATTGTGTTGAAGCACAGGTCTGGGGAGGGGTACCAAAACATTCTGCAGCATTGAAGGTCCCCAAGAACACAGTGGCCTCCATCATTCTTAAATGGAATAAGTTTGGAACCACCAAGACTCTTCCTAGAGCTGGCCGCCTGGCCAAACTGAGCAATCGGGGGAGACGGGCCTTGGTCAGGGAGGTGACCAAGAACCCGATGGTCACTCTGATAGAGCTCCAGAGTTCCTCTGTGGAGATGGGCGAACCTTCCAGAAGGACAACCATCTCTGCAGCACTCCACCAATCAGGCCTTTATGGTAGAGTAGCAAGACCGAAGCCACTCCTCAGTAAAAGTCACATGACAGCCCACTTGGAGTTTGCCAAAAGGCACCTAAAGGACTCTCAGACCATGAGAAACAAGATTCTCTGGTCTGATGAAACCAAGATTGAAGTCTTTGGACTGAATGCCAAGCGTCACGTCTGGAGGAAACCTGGCACCATCCCTACAGTGAAGCATGGTGGTGGCAGCATCATGCTGTGGGGATGTTTTTCAGCGGCAGGGACCGAGAGACTAGTCAGGATCAAGGCAAAGATTAACGGATCAAAGTACAGAGAGATCCTTGATGAAAAAGGGCGAAGGTACACCTTCCAACAGGACCACGATCCTAAGCACACAGCCAAGACAACGCAGGAGTGGATTCGGGACAACTCTCTGAATGTCTTTGAGTGGCCCAGCCAGAGCCTGGACTTGAACCCGATTGAACATCTCTGGAGAGACCTGAAAATAGCTGTGCAGCAACGCTCCCCAACCTGACAGAGCTTGAGAGGATCTGCAGAGAAGAATGGGAGAAACTCC